CCTCAGAATTCTCAGAAAAAAAACATTAGGCTGCTTTGTCTTCTGTAATGCATTTTCTTAACGCCATGTGGGGGGAGATGACAAATATTTGAAATATTTTAACTATTTCAGACTATACTGCCTTAATTTAATGTGTATATTTATCATTTTCCCTTACTTAAGTTTGTAGGTTAATTTTAACTTATCTTCTACTTCTGTATTTAGTAAAAGACAATTATATCAGAATATGTGCACTTTGATTTATCTAGTTTATTTAGATAGAAGGTTACATAGAATATAATTTTTAAGTATAAAAGCCTAATTATTTACTGCAAATTAACCACTTAACATTATCGAGGATTTCAAGCTTTTTTCATATATAAATACATACAGATTTTTATAGTTTGAACTGTAATTCATTGACTCCCCAGGGCAGAGTTTGAGAAAAGTGAACAACAGTAGTGTAAGTATTTTGAGATACCCATTTCAAAATAGTTGTTTGTTGTTGTTATGTGCTGTGGAGTCAGACCCAACACTTGGTAGCAAAAAGTTAAATGTGCTAGGAATACAGTAGTTGATATCTTCCTCACCCAATATAAAAGCTTAATTTTTTCCCCGAGTTACATCTTAAATTTGTTGCTGGTTTTATACCATTTCTCTCCCTGATTTAGCAAAGTATAAACAATGATTATTCAAACTGACCAGCATTCATGATGAGAGTTACAGGCTGTCGAGACAAAATGGGAAATGAAGCCAGGTTGTGAGGCACCAAACACAGACAGTAGGTGACTGTTAGCTAGGGACGAAGTAAGTGCAAAACACACCTAAGAAATAAGAGCAGGGTCTCAGTCCTATCTTATTGAATACAAGCTGACGTAAATTTAGAGGCGTTAGGGAAGCTGCAGAAAAACCTGGCTTACGTGTTTATAAGACTGTGGATTTTGCCTTCTCATATATGTTGTCTGTTTTTCAGAAGGGAAGAAGTAAAGTGTTCATTTTGGAACACAAAATTTATTTTAGGTAGTGAATAAGAACCTACTGCTATTTATTTTCATAATGGTAGAAGCCAAAAAGAGACAGGTGGCTTTTGAAAATTAATAGCTCTTAAAAGGCATAAGGAAATACATAACTTGAGGATATGTTCTTCTCAGACATTGGTGAGAAGCTGTGTTTTGGGGGGTGATATTAATTAAGAGCATTTCCCTGTTGGCATAAAATATCTCACATTTTTGCCCTTGGTGCTCAGCTCACCACGAACACAGTCAATTCACAACATAGTTTTTGTAAATAAAGGTTTTGGGCAAGCTGAACGTGGTCCAGAGAGATATTAATGAGAGGGCAAGGGGGAAGAGTTAATGAAAACACACTTCCTGGTGGAACATAAACTGCTTTTCAGACCTGGAGAATGCTTTAAAATTGCTTTCCCCAAACCCTGCCTGTGGCGTTTCCTTTCTGGAGGAGATGCAATGGGGAGAAATGACAAATAGCTCCATTTCATTATTTTCTTTTTTTCTTGTTCTCCATATTTTGGAAAATTGGATATTTATTTTGACTGTTTTCTTTCTGTGCATAGAACCAATTACATTTCGAGTACATGATGCATAATAAATATACCCAAGCATCTCTGGCCTAACAGTAATGAGTTGATTATTTGTACATCCCTTCTTTAAAGGCAGCTATCATTGTGTGGAAAGTAATAGACCCCTGTCATGTAGTCCCTTTCAACTTTTATCTTGCTGAAACGTGTTCCCAGTGTTTGGGGTGTGTAGTTTAGTTGTTGTTCTGCATCATTGGCTTTTGTATAGTCTGAGAAAAATAACTTAAAGCTTTTAAATTGCATACTCTCATGACTGAAATCTCAGACCACTGGTGTTTAAAGATCTACAAAATTTTATTGCCTGTATCATTTAAAGGAAAGCATGGCTATCCTCAGGAGAACATTGCCTTCTCTAGAGTTATGTAAATACAATCAGGGATTATGGCTGAATATTTTTGTAGATTTTTGCCTGCTATGGAATTCACTCTTCCACTCAAAAGTGTAAAGGTACCATCTAGAATTATCTGTTCTTTTCTCTAAAATGAGAGTTAGGTTAGATGCCTTTAGTTGGAGGAGAATTTAGCAAGAGTTCTAGTTTACATATCACTCTACAGTTTCCCCCGTAGTTACGTAATTGGTATTGTGTGTGTCCATCGGAGAGGACATTTGATGCTCATTTATTAAATATGCTTGCTGGCTGCTGCCGCATCTTTGTTCTGGACAGACAAATTACCTTTCTCACACTGAGCTTCCACTCTGGGGAATTAAAGCCTCCACCACTTTAATTAGCTTGGAAGTGGGGGGTTACAGTTCCTAATAGACTTCAGGCTTTTAGTTAAGTTATGGAAAGGGTGAAAAGAGAACTTCCTGGGAAGCTCAAAATGTCATTTAAAAACCATAAAAACCTAATATCTATATGATTTCATTTTGCTAATTGCAAACATTGTATTTGAAGACTCTGGATTATCATTTCTAACTTAGATGTTCAAGTTAGACTTCCACTGAACTGGGCTCTTGAGTTGATCATGTCATCAACGTTTTACAAGTATTTGATTCATAGAATTACTTTATGTAACATTAAATGACATAGGTAGAAAATATCCAATGAAAAATTAGATCTCATAATCAGGAAAGTAATATCTGAGTATTGCACATATAATTTTTCATAGATAAATACTATAAGTAGAGAAACACACAGACAAGGAGATGCCACATGGGAATATGAGAAGTCATAGTGTAGTGATCACTGCCAGTACATCTTGAGCATTTAGTGTATGCCAGGAGCAATGAGAGTACTCCATGTGTACTACTGTAATCATAATAGCCTTAGTATTTCCACTTTAAAGATGAGAAACTGAGGCACAGGGCAGTTTGAGTAACTTACCAAAGGTTGCACAGTTGAGCGTATTTATCTAAAACTTTCTCAGGGGAGGGTCTTGGTTATGAACGTCCAAAAAAGAAAGTCCAAGATACCACCACTAGGCAAGACCTTCTTATTATTCATTCCTTTCAGAAAGAGACTTGCTTTTAACTGAGTCAAGCAATTCATTGTAGAACTTTATACTAGAAACTTTCTGAAAGTCCATTTATTGTCTCATTTTCTCTACTAGTAAAAGTGCAGAAAATGTTACGCTTTAGCTCTTCACTGCCAGAGTGAGTAGCGTAGAAAGCCTTCATCAAGTCACAGTTGGAAAGTAATCTAATAAAAAAAGATTAGTGAATGTAGAGAGGACAAAAGCAGTCATGTTTGAGTTAATCTCTCTCAAATTCAGCATTTTAGCTAAGATGCCCATTTTTATTTCTTGCAGGTCTGCTAAAAGGTCAGAGTAATGCAGAATGCGTGCCTTCATCTCAGATTTCGTTCATCACAGGTGGATCCCATGTGTCTTCAGTAGACAAGTCACCTTTGTAGCTAGCACCAGTGCCAGCTCCATGCCATTGCACCTTCTTTAGTCTTGATTGCCCTTCTCGCATTTATTGGTGTATTAAAATGACTGAATATGAACATTAAGGACTCCATGAACCTGGGCTAATGGGAGACTGTAGAGAAAATGAAAAAAGATCCACCGGAGGACATCTTTGGGGGAGGGAGGGAGCTTGGGGGGAGGGAAATGACTAATGAAGCTAATTAAAAGAAGCATTCAAATCTGCTTTCTACCCTCATTAACAATTAGCAGGGCACTGGCCAGAGTTTGTACCCTGTGTTTTACCTTAACAACATTCTATTTGCTCTTTGTATATTTAAGTGTTGTAAGGAAATGTGTTTCAATCAAAACTGAACATGAGATAAAGGAAAGAGATGTGGCTTTTGTGATATTCTATCACAAACACTTTTATTGTATCTCTGTAAAATACAATGTATGTATGCATGTAAGTGTTTTTGTCCTAATGTTGCTACTCCCATGGCAAAGAAAAAGAGAAAAAGAACAAAAAAAAAGAAAAAGAAAAAACTTTGGGAAAAAAAGTCAGGCTCATAGCAGCTACTGTGTAGAAATTTCCCCCTACTTCTAATTTGCTGAATGAAGAAAAAAATCTTTTATTTGTGATATTTTCAGAGACATTTGCTCTAGTATGGTGTATTTAAATAATAAAAACTTAAAAGAAAAAATATTCATTGGAGTTTGGGTTTAAACACTGCTTTTTTCTCTTTTGTATTTTGGAAATTTTTTTTTTTTTTTAACAAGCTCACTTTAACTTGTAGGGGTAAGAGGAGATGACGTGTTTATTTCTTCAGGTTGGTGCCAATAAGGTAGTCTTCAGAGTACTTAAAACCCCATTGCCATCATACTTGGTACTGACTCGTAGCAGCCCTAAAGGACAGAGTAGAGCTGCCCAAAGGGTTTCTGAGGCTGTAATGTTTATGGAAGCAGACTGCCACATTTTTTGCAGAGCGCTGGTGGGTTTGAACCACCAATCTTTAAACTAGTAGCCCAGTTCTTTAACCACTGCTCCCTCAGGGCTCCTTTCAAATTACTTAACCATGCTGTTTTTGCAGAGGTTCTGTTCCTCACAGAGTCCATTGAATAAGTTCAGGATATTCTGTTAGTAACACTTCATTACACTTTTCCTAAATCACAGTGAATCCCTGTGTTGATACATAAGTATTTTGTTTGAATCTTTGGCCATTTTGTTCTTTTTTTTTCTCAATAGGAAGGCTTTGTTTATTGATGACAACATGCATGTTAAAGAATATGGCATAACCATTTTGTTCGTCTTAACAGATTTCTTGTTTTTGAAGGAAATCGCATTTCTAAACTGTCCCTGTGCCTATTTTGAAGCTCCATTAGCTGTTAGGGGACCCAGAACTCGTGGTGATCTGCAATGGGAGAAGCAGCCCCATAGTGAGTTGTTAGACATGTATGGTGTGCTGTATGATTTGTTTATTTTGTTTTGCTTTTGTTCTCCTGCTGACTCTGCCTTTCCATATGTTTGGGGGAGGATTCAGATCTCCCATAGTATTCTTGAGGCATAGAGTTGTAGGCAGCAGAATACCCGTAGCTGTTGCTTGCAGAGGAAAGAACGTGTAGTACGAGGACTCCATGGGTCCGTGGCTGGTGCTGCAATGAGGAAAAACCACACAGGCCTGGTGGCTTCCTGCTAGGCATGTTTTTTGTGAGTAAATCTCAACTACAGCTTTTATTACAGGTTAATAAAACCAGGTGTATTTAAAATTTTTTTAAAGACGGCATTTATTTTTATCTTGTTCGAGAAAAGTTTCTCATCTAGGCTTCCTCTCAGAATAGGAACAGGCCACGTAGGGAGGTCTAGCTCTGCACATCTCAACCAACAGCTTTCCTTCGAGACCTTCCTGCTCACTTGCTACTTTCAAAGATTCCTGGCCAGGAGGAAATATTACCTGTGTAAACTGAAAACCCTATAAACCACCTCAGGAGAATTTAAAGGCAGAGAGTTAAAAGTGTAGTGTTTTGTAGCGCTTTATTAAAAAAAAAAAATGCAGGAAAAAAAAATCAGACAGTCACACAATAAAATGTTTAAGGGTTAGATCCTTGGTAGAATTTTTAGAAACTACTTTTGTTTCTTAATTTATTATTTTTTTTCCTCTTTAAGATTCTTTCTAAAGGAACTTGGACTCATCTAGATGGTAAAGGGGAAGTGTGTTAATAAGATTGCAAGTATCTTCTATATTTCTAGCGTAAGTACTCACCTCATATATAGTGTAGAAATTCAAAGGACATGATTAATAACTTCTAGTAAGTAAGATAGTGTGGCATTTAGTGATGTGGAGGGCTAAGGTCATTAAAGACTTTAAATGAACTATTACATAGCTGGTTCCTCAAGCACTGCTGCGTATTTAATAACGAGCTTCTAAAAGCCTTTCTTAAGTTGCAGACCGTAAGATTACAAATGTCACTCATGTTAGTATAATCCACATGCAAGTGATGAAGTCTTTTCTTTGATGTGCTAAATTGGAGAAGGACTAATGGAGCTATGAATATACAATAGAACATATTTAAGTAGTAGTCTTGCTTTAGGTAAAACACTTTTCTTGAAACCAGAGGCATTTCAAACAATAAAACCCGACTCTAATGGGGATGCTCTATGTATAGGAAGCCACTAAAAACACTCAGGTTTATTCTGATGTGAACAGTGATTATGTGCAGATTCTTCCCCAACTCCAGCATTACTTAGGAAAAAAAAAATTCATGAGCTTATTCACCTTTCATCCGTTGCATCTGTGATGCTATTAGTTAGGGAAATGTAGCCATTCTTTTGAAAGGACTATTATTAACCGTGTTGTGAGCAAGATGGCCCCCGTCCCTAAAAACAAGTGCAATTAAAAGTAAAAGCCAATGTTTCTGAGCTCTGCTCAACTCCTGATTAAAAAAAAATGTTTATGATACATATAAATGTCTCAATCATGCAAATTGTCACTCTTGCTAATGAAACAATTTTGTAAAAAGATTGTCCTTAATGTACCTATCCAACTGTCTAGTTCAATTTACAAATTCTGCAAGCAGGGGAACCTGAAGCCTTTCCAAACCAGAGCCTTTACTACAAGAAACGATTTCCAGTTCCTCATGATTTATTAGGAAATAGTTTAATGTAGACTATAATGTTTTATAAAATACAAAATGAGAAAACTGTCGCACCAAAATGAAGCCTGTGAAATTTGTCATTCTCTTAATAGTAGCTATTTAAATTCTTTCTTTGGCCCTTATTAACACTGATGTTTGAAACAACTAATCATTTAAAATAAAGGTCTTAAATAGCTTCAAATGTCAATATCGGAAGTATAAGGTGCACTACTATTTATATAAAATATTTCTTAGGGCCCATAAATAACAAACACAGTGAATCCAAGAGTGTGTTTCAAGAGTCTAGTGAAGAGTTTCCATGCCAGCATAAATGATTGTGTTTAAATTGAGAAAAGAGGCCGTTCAGTTTCGAAAGACCCCTTCACTGTGGCATTGTATCCTGGGTTCTTGTACACCTCAGTTTAAGAGGCCTTTGGAAACAGACCATTTACGAGTTGGTGTAACTTGTCGCTTTGTTACTAAGATGTCTATTGTCAGTCCAGCCAAGTCACAGAAATGCTTATTGCAGTTAAATAGCAATTTGTTTCCATGAAACTGCAATTAAAGTATTACTGAGCAGCCATTTTAGATTGGCAAAGCACCGAGCGCATGTTAAACAGCCAGCAACTCCCACTTGCGGGGTCTGAGATCTGACTACCAGCAAAGTGTAACACATTCACCTATGTTGGGCATCTAGTTAAAAAGGCATATGAAACCTCAAGGCAGCCCTCTGGTACCATTCTGAACATGCTGAAAGCAGCAACAAGTCAAGGCTGATTTTTTGGAAGGTGAACTGGCAACTTAAGTGAATACTATTTTCAGTAGTACAAGAAGTGCTTTATGCTAGTAGATATGTGCATGTTTCCTGGAGGGAATGTTTTCAAGTTTAGATTGATTCTGCTGAGAATGGACTGCAACTCCAAGGCCTCAAGCCAATAATGTACTGCAGGTCCCGACATGTTACAGCTGTGTAAACAGGACCATTCTATCTCCTAAATCACAACTAATAAAGCACAGGATGAAAATCTATTGATTCTGTTATAAGTTCTTTGAATGACACTGGAAAGTTGTTTAATGACTGTGTTGAAATGGACAAACCTGAGTTGAGGGACCAAAATATTTTAATTGTGTCTCTCCCCTCAGAAACAGGGCAAGATATTCTTTCTTGGGTATCAGCATCACCACCCCAGATCTAAACCTCCTACGGACAGGCTTGGTTTGAACTGAATTCTTTGTGTGTGCATCAAAGTTCAGGGTTTGTTGTATGAGAAAGGTGAAGTGCAAAAGTTTTTATTGAAAATGCGAAACATTGATGTAAGATCCTGAGAGAGGAATGGATTTCAGAGGTGGTGTTTTAAAACGCAATTAGCACTGAATTCTAACTAGCTGGGAAACAATCATTAGCTCATGAGAAAAGGAGGCATCTCACCTTCCTTCCTTCAGCCTAGAAAGTTCCCTTTACCTTGAATCAAGAGGCTTATGCCCTCAACGTTTTCAGAAAGAACTTTCATATGCAGTGCATCTTTTTGTATTCCACCAGTGTTTGTTGATTATTATGTATGTTTTCTTCCCCAGAAAGGGGAAACATTAAAGCATTTCTTCCTAAATTAATCTTTCATTTTCAGTGAATTGAATGTTTTGAATAACCATAAAGAGACAAATCCGAGAACATTTTACAAATGAAGATTAATTAGGAAAACTAGAAAGGAAATTGATTCCTTGGGCTACAGTTGTGTAACTTTTTTTTTTTTTTAATTTAAATAAGGTTTGGTAGGGATGAATGTATTTTAAATTCTGAATATTCCGCTAAGACCTCTGATTTCAGTATCATCAGTTACAGGCTTACACTCTTCATAAATCTAGTATCTTTAAATATAATAACTTTATCTTGTGCTTGTACAACGCTTTGTATTTATACTTCAGCATTTATAATTTAAATGTACATATATATGTTCTCTTGTTTAATCCTTACAAGAATCCTGTTAATAAGTATTATTACCTCAGTTTTACAGATAAGGTAACTAAAGTTCAGTGAGATGCCTTGTTAAGCAGGATCAGGTGAGTAGGCACTCACTATGGGTGCAAAATGTAAGGCCATGCCAGAAAACGTAGGAATCAAAATAAATAATGTCTTAGTGAAATAATTTTTAAAACTAGCAATATTAGTACAAAATAAAAACCACAAGGAATAAAATGTTGCAATTTGAGAGTCAGGATTACTGATCTTCCCTTTTGCCTCAGACTCCAACATGGCCCAGTGCTGTTCAAAGTGCCAGAGCTGCTATTTGAACCCTGACTTTTGGGGCATTTTGGTAGAATTCTTAGAAATTGTTAGGCTATGATAATAATACACTTTATGCTATGAGCTATAACTACAGTTTCTTTTCCCTT